ACGTAGGGAGGAACAACCCCAGGCACCAGCACAGGCTGGGGGTGACCTGCTGGCCAGCAGCTCTGCAGAGAAGGACCTGGGGGTGCTGGTGGACACCGAGCTGTCCACGGGCCAGCAGTGCCCTGGGGGACAAGAAAGCCAAGGGGATCCTGGGCTGCATTGCGAAGTGCATTGGCAGCAGGTCAGGGAGATGATCCTGCCCCTCTACTCAGCCCTGGTGAGGCCAGTCTGGAGTGCTGTGTCCAGCTCTGGCATCCTCAGGGCAAGAGAGACACAGAGCTCATGGAGAGGGTGGGTCCAGTAGAGGGGAAAAAAATAAAAAAAAATTAAAAATATTTGGGGACTGGATCATTTCTCCTATGACAACAGACTGAAGGAGTTGGGACTGTTTAGCCTGGAGCAGAGACAACTGAGAGGGGACCTTATCAATGCAAATATGTTAAGGACAGGTGTCAAGAGGATGGGCCCAGGCTCTTTTCAGTGGCACCCAAGACAAGGGACAATACTGAAACACAGGGAGTTTCACCTGAATTTGAGGAAAAACTACTACTTCACTTTACTGTGAAAGGTAACTGAACATGGAACAGGCTGCTCAGTGAGGTTGTGGAGTCTCCTTCTCTGGAGATATTTAGAACCCACCTGGATGCAATCTTGTGCAATCTGCTCTAGGTAACTCTGCTTTAGGAAAGGTTCCTTCCACCCCCAGCCATTCTGTGACTCCATGAGAGGAATAATCAGTGCAGCACATTTATTGATGCAGGTGGTGGGTTTTCACTTGATACAGTGGAGCTGTTCCAGGTTCTATGTAGGGTTGTTTTGACCACACATTGATATATTTGGTTGTTGTAGCCTTCTGTGGCTTTTAACTGAGTCACCTCCTTGCTTTCTATAGGTATCATGGTGAGGATTCAGCTGGGAGAGTCTGTTGTCCAGTGATGTTCTTCTGAGGATCCAAATGACCTCCCAACATATTAGCTTGGGCTTCTTTCTGACATCTGCTCCTCTTAAATACATTTTTCTTGTTTTCAGGCCATTGGAGATGTCTGCTAAGAAGCCTGTACCTTTCCTGCGACAAGTTGTCCCTGTTAGGAAGAAGGTGAGTTCTGCCTCTCCCCAATTCATGACTTCCCTTAGCTCTGCTGACAGGGCATGCACATGGGAACGGGGCTACTGCAGATGGCACAGGCTACTTCTGGAGGACAGGGCTGGACCACTGGGGAGTGCAGACAGTGACTGTTTCCCTGGAGAGAACAATGGGTGGGTTGGAGCAGCTGCAGGTTGAGAGTTTGTGAGAGGTGCAATGACTGCCACCAATGACAGTTCCACTGCAAACCATGATCATTGTTCAGTACTAATCCCAGAAGTTCAGATGTCCATCTGCTTTCCAGTCTGAATGTAACTTTTGACTTATCATTGCTGGATCATTGGAATATGGTAATACCCACAGTTAGAGACCTCTTTTTGTCCCTCCCTTTTTGCATGATCTGACCCAGTTAATCTGTGTGAAAATCTAGATAGGTTTGAGTTCCCAAGTCAATCACCTTGACAACACATATTCAGCTCTTGGTCTGGGATTTGCAGGTGTTCGACAGCAGCACTCCTGCTGCTATTCCTGGATATTCCTGGGTGGCAGACTGGCATATGGAGATGTCTGTTGTGTGGTAAACTCAATGCAGGCATGACTTCGGGGATGCCACCTTGACCGTCGTACTCCATCTTTGCCAACTGCAGATACTTCAGTGGTGGGAACATAACAGTGCTGGGGAAAAAAATTGGCTGAGCCATGAAGGGAGAGTAGGCAGGCTGTTAATGGGGTAACACTGGCTACAGCTCTTGCCTTTGCCTTCCCTGCTGACAGGTCCAGAGAGACCCTCGATTTGATGACCTGTCTGGAGAGTATAAGCCTGAAATATTTATGAAGACATACAGCTTCCTGGACAGCATCAAGAAGCAGGAGAAGGAGGTGATGCTCTGTGCCTGCCCTTGCCTGGAAGAACCTTTCTTGGCAGGGGCTACTTCTTCAAAGGCTTTTCACAGTGGAGGTGACAGGCAGGCAGTCATGCAGCTTTCTGCTCTCTTCTTCAGATGGTTGAGAAGCAGCTGAAGAAATGCCGGAACATGGAAGAGAAGGAGAAACTTCAGCGGCTCCTGAACCGTATGGTGAGTTCAGTGCAGCATCTCCTCTGTGAGGCACTGGGAAAGAGGATGTGTCACTTGAGGTCTGCCTCGATGCTGACACAGACCATCCTTTTTGTACAGACACAGCAGGAAAAGGCACAGAAAAAACAGCAGAAGTTGAGAGAGAGGGAGCTGTCTTTGAAAAAACAACAGAGGGAACTGGCTAAGCAGGGAAAGAAACCCTTCTTCCTAAAGAAATGTAAGTACTTGGTGTGAGCATGCTGCAGGAGGATCGAGAGGGCGTACTGCTGGCAGGAATTCAGGCACTTCCACAGAGCTGTGGGGGGATTCTTCTAGTGCTGGTACTCGAGGGACAAGCTAAGCCTGGACCAGGGAGGGAGAGGTGAGGAAGGGCTGCTCTGTAGAGGTGTTTTGGGCTTCAGTTTAAGTTTCATATCCCTCTCCTCTGCAGCTGAGAAGCGGAAATTGGAACTAGCTGAGAAGTATGCAGAGCTGAAGAGGAGTGGGAAGCTGGAGAGCTTCCTGAACAAGAAGAGGAAGAGGAATGCCATCAAAGACAAGCGCCATCTGCCCTCACAGAAGAACTTGTGACTGTTGGACAGTCATGCTGTTGTCTGGAACTGGCTCGTTCTGCCTTGGCAAGGCTTGGAGGATGGTTATCCCTCTTCCCAGGATCTGCCCTTCCACTGTAGAGTGATGCTGTAAGGCAGCAGAGCAGGGGCTGAACTGAAGGAAATAATGGGGTTTTTGTAGCTGAAGTGTGTTCTTGTGTTTTAGATCATGCCTGGGTGGTGACAAGTGTGTCGTGCAGATGCTGATGGTGATGACAGCTGTCTTTGCCCTTGCACCTGCTCATTTCTAACTCTAGCAAGGAAAGTGTGAGCCCTGCCCTGCACTGCTGGCTCTACTCCAGGTTCTTTCAGACTTCCACTGAGGCAGAAAAGGATGTGGGACAACGCCTGCTCAGAGCAGCAACCCTGACTTCAGGTTGCCCAGGGCTGCTTTGGTGGGATCTGGTAATGTCCAGATGCCTTCACCTCTCTTGGCCTCTGCTCTACTGCTTCAGGTTCTCAAGATTGAACTTTTTGTTCCCTCATCCAGGAAACTTGCCTGGTTTTAGTCTATGATCATTGTCTTGTTCTCACTGAAGTGCCTGGCTCTGTCTTCTCAGCAGCTCTGTCACAGGTGTGAGGGGGGGGTGGGAAAGGGGTGCTGTAAGATCTCCCCAAAGTCTTTTCTTCCTAAGGGTGAATGAATCCTGTTTCCTCAACCATTCCTACAGTTCTCCAGCCTCTGACAGCTTTCACATACTCAGCTGGAGTCAGCCCAGACAACAAACAGCTAAGTTTTGGTGGCTCAGCATGGATCAGTATCTGGATGTAGTCTCAGAAGAGATGACTGAAGGTGAGAGGATCACTCCACTCCATGTGGGCTGCTCCTGGTGATGCAGATCTAGGTGTGGCTGGCCTTCCTCATACACGGGTCATGCTGTGACTGCTCAGGTATTGCTGCTTGGGATCTCTCCTTCAGAGCAGCTTGGTTTCTCAGTGTTATCTCCAGAGTTATCAGTGCTCCTAGGAAACTGATCCTGTATGAAATAAAGTACCTATTTTCCTTTATTCCCACGATCAGTGCTGTTACAGTCAAAAGTGTTTGACCTTAGGGGAGTCAATGCCTCTCTCCCAGTATCCTACCAGCCCTCTTGCTTCTCCTTGTTCCATTTTGCTCCTGTGTGACATGGCTGTGCATACAAAGGGATGGCTCAGATGACCCCAGTGTGACAGGTCAGAGTGTGCTGGGTGAGTGACCACAGGTGTTTGGGGTCTGGGGACAGGCCTTGCTGGGAGCAAAACATGCAGCAAGGAGCAGGTCAGCTGGCCTGAGGGTGTTGCTGAACCACTTGTCTCCACTGTAGTTCCTGTGGGTGATGCAAGTTCTGCTCTGGTGAGAGTAATTAGTGGAACTGGGGACACAGTAGACATGGGATGTGCCAGTTTGGCCAGAGACCTGCTGCCAGGACCTCTCTGAGGAGTCATGGGACACTTCTCAGCATTCCTGAGTCCCTGTGTCCCCATCCCCTGCTGCTTGTAGGTCTGGTGCAGCAGGTGCAAGGCTGATGCATCCCCAAAGTGGTCCTGGTTTCCCCTCCTGCCCCTCTGGAGCTAAAGGTCTTCCTGCTGAGGCCTGTGCCTGCCTGCAAGGAGGACATCCTCGCTGGGATGTCACCTGCTTCTGCTCAGCACAGTGGTGGTAAGCAGTGAGCCTGTGGCCCATGTGCCTGCCAGCTTCTGGGCCCAGCACCCTCAGCAGGACAAGCCCTGGGGCATTGCCCAGCTCTGCCAGGACTGAGCTGCCTCTGGGTTTTGGGCAGGAGACAGCATGGAAGCACCAGCTCCAAGGGAAGCAGATGCTTCCAACATCTCCAGAGAGCTGCTTTCTGCTGTGAAGCTGCTCTTTCCAGCAGCCTCCCAGCCTCAAGCAGCTGGCTTATTTTCCTTGTTTCTAAGATGTAGGGCAGACCTGCACTGGTGTCCCTCCAGGTGGAGAGTGGGGACTTGCTGTGGGTGTCCCTGGGCATGACTGGTCCCAGTGGATGTGACTGTGCTGGTTGCACGGGCGGTGGTGGCTGACAACGCTGCCACACGCACTTGGTCAGTGACACCCTCGGAGCCCACCAGAGGTTCACAGGACCTGTGGGCCAGGAGGAATGGCTTCAGACGCAGTGGCCTGGGATGCTCTCCCCAGGTCACTGAGTGAGCCTCTCCATGTGCTCTGCAGCTGAACAGACAGCCAGTCACACAAGGCCCCCATAGGAGTGGGGGGTGATCTGCCTGCTGGCAGGGACACAGACATGAAAAGGCTGCAGGGCTCAGGTCTTTTATTGCAAAGAGGGAGATACGAAAAAAGGACAGTCACCCCTTTTTGGGTCCCCCCAGGCCTGCAGCTGGCTGAGAGGGGTGACAGCAGGGGGAGGCCCAGGCCTTGCTCCCCCTGCATGGGGACCTCGGCTCACACAGTGGGGAGCAGGCTGCTGCCAAGGACCACACTGAAGCCATGGCCAACCACAGCAGAAAAGTGGGTGAACTGCTGTGTCCCTGTGTGGCACCCTGGCTGGCCAGAGAGCAGTGCTGCACGGGGAGCACTAGTAGGGAGCCTGGCACAGGGTGGGGCTGCCTGACCTCACCCAGACACAGCTCATGGCAGGCAGCCCCGGCCTCCTCCCCTGCTCTGCTGTTTTACGAGGTGGGGTGCAGAGGTTCCACAGAGGCTGCTGTGGGGGCCCTCGCCATGCACCCCTCAGGGCCCTGAGCCGTTTTACCCAGAGGAGGAGGGAGCAGGGTCGTTCCCCTCTGTCCAGGCAGGGAGCTAGGCAGCCTGCCTCGGGTCTGTAGGTACAGCCAGGCGTGGGGATGCCCAGGCTGTAGCTCCTGCTGGCTCGTCACGTGTTGTCCTGGGCCAGCTCCTCGGGGCAGGCAGGTTGGTCCCGGGCCTTGCGCAGCCCCGTGGGCGGCTGGGCTGGGGTGCTGTGCTGCGGGTCCGGCCCCGGGGGCGTGTGGTGCTGATGCCGCTGGTACTGCACAAACATACAGACCTTCATCCCAATGGCCAGCATGTTCTTGCCCATGAAGATGCTGGAGACCCGGGCATCCCTGAAGAAGAGCATGTTGCTGCCTCGGATGAAGATGGTGGTGATGTTGACGGTGAGCATGCTCAGCATGGGGTACAGCATCATCCGGTGCGGCACGATGCCGATCCCCTGCATGCTGATCTCGCACAGGGACACGCACGGCAGGACCAGGAGCAAGATGTAGCAGTAGAAGAACATGATGCCCTCGGCCCAGAGTGGCAGCCCTTTCTTCTGAGGCTCCCACAGGTTGGCCTGGATGTCCAGCACATCCAGCATGTCCACAATGACCCAGAAAAGGCGGTTGCGGAGATCTTCCTTCTTCTTGAACGTTCTGACGTACTCCATGTGCTCTGTGGCCACCAACAACACGTAGAGAGCTGGGATGCAGATGGAGAGCAGCAAGGTCAACGCTTTGCGGGCTATGAGATCCAAGCTTTTCCGGTCAGCTTTATAATTCTGGTATACAAAGTAGACTTTGATCTCCAGAACGAAGACATACAGGAACCAGAGGATCATGGCATATCCTCGCTTAGCTGTCTTTACCTCTGCCCCAACCCAGATAGCCACATAGCGGAGGACCAGCAGGAAGCATATGTCACCCACTGCCACCATGACACAGATGCCCAGCTTCCTGGAGCCCTGGCTCTGCTCCACCAGGTAGGCATCCATGAGGACGAGGCTGGTCATGATGAGCACAGTGGAGAGGCACACATGGGGCTTGCTGACAGGTGGTGGGGGAACCATCCTGCACAGAGGAACAGGGTCATCAGGGAGTTGCTAAGATTTCCTATCCCCGCCCTTGGGCCCCCTTCTGCCACCCACTCCTCACCAGCTATGGATGGCTGAAAGAAGGGAGGGAGCCATTCATAGATTTCTCCCATCCTATGCGCCTGGCTTGTTCCAAACCTGTAAATTTCTAGCCAAAGAGCTCCTGAGACCGATCAGGACATCCTGGTGGCATGTGCTGGCTGAAACCCAGCTCTTAGGAAGCACATGGTGGAGCAGGCTGGACACCTGAGACACTTCAAGTACTTGGGATCCCACTTCCTCTTCTGGTAGCTCATCACACTGACTAGCCTCTGCCACCATGAAGGGTACATGCCTTATTTTCCATAGCATTTCCCAGCCAGTGGTACTGCTTGTATTTTTCCCCACAAGGCATGTTAAGACTAGACTTATGTGTTTAACCCAAGAAGGCCTTAAATGCTATTATCCAGGACTGCTCTTTTTAGTCTCCTTATTTTCATGTACAGCACAAGATGAAGCCTGGCTTTTTTAGCCTTGTGGGGTGGGAGGGAAAAAATTGGCCCAGTATTCAGCTTCCTTTAGGTTCACATCCCCCAGAAGCTTTGCCTAGAGCTATTTGCCAATGCCCACCCTATCCCAACACCATAAACTGAAAGCAAGGAAAAGCAGCATGAGCCCACAGCTCCAGGACACAAGTTACTCTGCAGCAGGCTCTGAATTTCTGTGGGATGCTCAGCATTTCTGGGCTGGGGCAGAGCAAAGCACTGTCCCCAAAAGCACCCTGCCTGCCTTGTACAGCACCAGGGCTGTCAGACTCCCTCCCCCTGACCAAGCACAGCTGCAGGCAGCTGCCTTCAGCGGCAAGGAGGGAGGACAGAGCCGGGGCCTCACCAAGCACAACTTGGCAGCTGCTCTGGAGGGGAGCCAGCCCCCCGGATGAAATGGAGGATGAAACTAGGCTGATGACTGTGTGGCACAGTGCTTCACGAGGGCTGCCCACGCAGAGCCCGCCTCTGCCACGCCTGGGCTGCGCAGGGGCCCTGGGACACCATCCTGCTCATCCAGGGGGCAGCGTGCGGGTGGCACTTGACCACGGAGCAAATGCTTGGGAGCAGAATGGAGGCCGCACAGTTAATGGTCACCCCTGCACATGGATGCTCCTGGTGCTGAAACTGATGGCACAGGGCCGTGGGCACAAGCTACCTGAACTCCTGCTTTTTGGCTGAGGGAGCAGGCGTCCGGCGCAGTCGTGCATCCCTGGGCCCAGCAGCATCCTGGCACGTTGCGGGAGGCAGCGAAGCCTGAACCTGTCAGACACAGGTGCCTCTCAGGGGGAGGGATCAGAGGCCGGTGGGCATGGGGGAGCCCGTGGATGTGGCACATCTGGAGCATGCCACACGGCCGGGGGCTCACCCGCCCGGCACCCCACGGCCTGGCCGAGCCTCCGCGGGGGCTGGGGGTACCCCAGGCCCCGGCTCAGCACGGCCCCGCCGGACGGACGCCCGCCTCCATCCCCTGGGAGCGCCGGGGCACCCCCGGCCCCGCCCGTCCCGAGCCCCCCGCCCACATCGGCCGGGCCTGCCGGGGGCAGGCGCTGCCCGCAGGCCGCGGGGGCTCGGCCTGCCGTCCCCCCCCGGGTTTCGCTTACCTCGGGCGGCTCCCCGGGGCGCAGGGCGGCGGCGGCGGCGGCCCCGGGCCCGGCGCGGCATCGCCCGGCGCGGCCCGGCGGCGGCGGCGGTTCTGCGGCGGCGGCGCTCGGCCCCTCCCGGCGGGCGGCGGGCGGGGACTGCGGCGGCCCCCGCCTCACCCGCGGGCCCGGCACCGCCCGCCGCTCCTCCGGGCCCGCTCCCCCTGCCCGGGCAGGCTGCCGCTGCCCGGCTGTCCCCGTCCGCTCCCGGCCCGGGGCCACCGTCTGCATCCTCAGCCGCCTCCGGCCTCCTGCCCCGGCCAGAACCGGAGCCCGCAGGGCCGCAGCCCAGCAGAGGCCCCAGGCGAACCTGTGGCGCCCTGGAAAGCCCGGGCTGACAAGGATGTCTGCCCTCCAGGAGGGACTGGAGCCTCGACCTCTCCTTGCTGGGCGGAGAGGGCAGAGGAAATCATGCACCTCTGTGACCCGACACCCAGCTGTGCCGGGTTGCAGGGTCCTGGAGAGCCCCAGCCTCGCCGGGCTCTGGTACAGATGGGCTTGGCACCACCAGAGGCTTGTGTGCAGATAAAGCAGGCGAGGGAAGGCAAAAGGTTTTGATTACCTTGGTGGACATACCTCTCTGCAGCTGCTCTTCTATCAGCCTGAGCAGTTTATTGCATTTAACTCCAAACTTTCTTCTAAGTGATTTAGGCTTAGCTACACAGGGAAGGTATTTCAGTGTATTTCCTCTCTGACTTTGAAGTGCTCATTGTAGATATATGTATTTTGGAAGACGGAGAAGCTCTAAGATCTCTGGAGATGGATTGTGAGCAAAACCAAGCTTTGACCTAAGAGCAAGGACAAGAGCAAGTGACAGAGTGCCAGAGGAAGTGCAGCCCTCCTTTCATCCAGCTGCTGACAGAGTGGCTGTAGGTCCCTGTTGGATCTAATGCCCTGGGACATCTCAGTGGGCACCAGGAACATATAAATCTTAGCTATGGTGTCCTTGGCAAATGGAGACACTGGACCAGCATCCAGGCTTACCTCAAGTGTCCCCACAGTGGGTATGGACTGGTTGACACAGTCAGGTGGAGGCTCTGTGTGAAGGGAGCAGAGGTCTGGGTTAGACAAGTGCAACAAGGTAAGGAGTTTGGCTGTGGGAGCATTCTCCCAACCCAGGAATAAACAGCAACCCCCTGAAGGGCTGAAGGAGCAGGGCAACAAAACAGCCAAAGCAACCTGCCTTCAAAAATGAAAGGAGACCTTGCAACTTGAGTGGAGAACAATGTGAGGCACAAGAGGGCAAGGTAACAGTGCAAAAATCTTTACTCTGGGACACAGAAGCACTGGTTCTCGCTATCCAAGCAGTCTCTTGCAGCATGCAGGGAGGAGCAAAGGGCCTCTGTCCATGGAGGGGGACACCACAGAGGTATCCACCCAACACAGGCAGGAAAGGGGTGCTGGAGCAAGCTACCAAGCAATAGGGCTAAAGACAAGATGATTCATCCATGAGCTGGAATCATAAAACCCCTGAGTCTCCGCTAGAGACTAGGACGGGAGGTGACAACATTTGCGTGGGAAGCAGCAAAGAGCTGCTTTAACAAGGCACATAAAAATAAGAAGGCAGAGCAAGAACAGATACTTTTGTGCTTCTCTAAAACACGATGCTGGAACCAGTGTGCCAGAGTTGGTATGTGGATGCATTTGTATCATAGATAAAAAGGAAGGGAACTGGAGAGGGTATACCAGGATTCCCAGGCACATAGCTGCTCTCTGGCAGATGCTGGCTCCAGATGTGGGTGGAAGAGCATCTTCAGCTCAGCCCTGTTCTGCCCATGAAACCTGCACCCCGTCATTGGCACTGAAAAGTCCCTTTGGGCAGTGACAGCAATGCACTCAAAGGCTGTTGGGAGAGAGATGGAGAAATCCATCAGTCACGTTAACATCCTCAAAGGGGAGCTGTGGGAAGCAGAGGAAGTTTGTCAGCAAGGAACAGCAAGCAGTGACTGTAATGAGGAAAGGCTGGCAGTAGCTGGGGACCGTGCTGAGAGCTTCAACTGCTCCAAAACAGCTTTGTGGCCCCCACAGCCTGGCCACAGAACATGAGAGGTGGCTGGAAATTATGGACATCCTTCAGGAAGACAATTTTTAAAAAAAACAAACTAGGAATAGTTTCTGATTGATGGGTGTTTTAACATCGTGAAAATGCCTAATGTGAGCAAGGCATTGGAAGGTGACATCAGAATGGAGAAGTAAAAAATTAAGTATGGAATTAAGTAAGAAAACAAGGATTAAATATACAGAGTCAATTCAAGAAGCCATTTGTCAAAAATACAGAATGGAAGGAATAGAGCTAAGTAGTGGTGACAATGTCCTTTGGGGTGCAAGCTGGCCCTCAGAGAAAATGGTGTCCATCAAAAAGCCTTAATTTCAAACACAGGCACATGTGGCATCATGCCCCTTGATGGGACAGAGAGTGGGTGTTGTTACTTCTGGAAGCAGCTCAGGAAGAATGAAAGGACCATCATGGAAAAGCAGCACGTTAAAGGGCACTTGTGTCAAAGCTCTGGTAATACTGGGGAGGAGCTCACGGGCATGGTCCATTTGGGTAAGAGTGACACATAAAAGAAAATAAGTAAAAGGCTTTTCTAAAGGCACATTTCAAATTGGTTACCTGGATGATGAAGAGCAAGGGTTCCTTGGATACTTTCCCCGATATCCTCAAGGATCATATCCACAATGAAGCAAACCTCAGCTGGTGGCTGGTACACAGAAAGGTCTCAGCATAAGAAGAGCTGGTAAAGCAGCTGAATGTGATGACAACTCTACCAGCTTCTGTTTAAGCTGGAAGATAACCAGGCTTTGGGACTTGCAGTGAAAAATACAGGAAAACTTTGACCCCAAAGAATGAGAAAAGCCATTATGCGTGGAAGAGCACAGCTGTGGGTAGTCATGCTGTAGGCACAAAGTCAATATAACATTAAGACAGGAAAAAATTAAGAGTGGGCTGTGTAGACAAGCCCCCAAATAAACAAACCACATTAAAACAGCCTGAGAACAAATGCATAAATTCATCTGAAAAAAAACAGAAAGCCAAAAAACACAAGTGAGCTGCAAGAAGTACTTGAAGGGAACTGGCTGGAGGGAAAGAGGCAGAGAAATGCACCTCAATCCCACTGAACATCCTTCCAGCAGACACATGACAAAAAAGAGGAACCTCATCAACCAGAAGCTGCAAGTGGCAGCTATGACAGGCAAAGACAATTTATGACCTGGGGACCATGCCCTGAGCTTCAACAGCTCTGAGAAAGCATCACAGATTGAAAAACACAACCACAGGGCAGAGCAGAGGTGGCTGGAAGTGATGAGC